CCTGTAACTTAAAGCATCAGCTATGGCAACAACACAAATGGTCACCAAGTTCCAAGAAGACACTTTTACTGATTTTTATACCCTGTCCAGTTTCAAAGAGGTTTGGAGGTCATGACACCTTACATTTGAATTCCAACTGATGGTTTTCAAAGAACTATTACTTGTAGTAAATCTTCAAATCCTTCAATAAACGTATGTACTACGTAAATCCTCAACATGCCCATGACACTAAATGAGCTCTCTTGTAAGAATGGTTTCATTAAAAGAAGCCCAACACCCGGCTAATCCATAACCAACCTCGATGTGTTTCTTTTCTTGGTGATACAGATCCACAAGTTTCTTACAGACATCACACCACTTCTGTTTGTCAACACTTGAAGGAAAACAAGCAAACAACACAAAACAAAAAATCACTTTTAAAAAAATCAACGACTTAAGGCACTAAAACATCTGAATAGTATCATCAAGTACTATTTTAAATTGGAACATGCCATCTTTCAGACTACAGTAAAGTTTCGTAAAGTGAGCCTTCCAAGGAAAGGTTTAAGAAATATTATCTCCATGATATGGACTGAAATTCTCATCAAAAAAATTCCAAATTAATTCTCTTTGATTTCATTCCAATGACAATCAAGAGATTCTGTAAGAGTGGACACTAACACCCAGAGGTGGGGGTGGGGGCATGCTCGTCAAAACAACCAGATCCAGGAGAAAAAAGGGCAGTACTCGCCCAAAAGCAAAGAAAGCTGTGATGGTGGGAAGGGGTGTGAAAACTGAGTGGAGAGCGGGGACTTCTGCAAGGTAGAAACGGGGAGAGTGCCGACACACAGTAGGGCAGTGTTTCCCAACCTTCCTAATGCTGCAACCCTTTAATACAGTTCCTCCTGTTGTGATGACCGCCAACCATAAAATTATTTTCGTTACTACTTCATAACTGTAATTTTGCTACTGTGATGAATCGTAATATAAATATCTGATATGCAGGATGTATTAGGCGACCCCTGTGAAATGGTCCTTTGACTCCCAAAGGGGTTGCGACCCACAGGTTGAGAACCGCTGCTGTAGGGGCTGCAACCAACCTCGCGGAATAATTTGTGTAACTTGCTGAGTGATTAACTAACTTGCTCTGCAAACTTTCCCCTAAACCACAAAAACAATGTTTAGTATTTCTATGTAAATTAAAATAAATGCAAAAATAACCAAAAAGGTAATTCTGTAAAACAGTTAAAAAAACTTATCTGATTCTCATTTAATGTTGAGTTTATACTACACACAATGTGATTGAGTCAGCCCCAACTTCTTCAGCAGTTTATCCTAATTCAAGTTACGAGAGAAAGTGGCTGTTGCCCATGCATTCGTTACCTTTCATATAGATCTAGAAGCTTTTGGTAGACAGCAGGTAAGTCGTCCTTAGCATTTATGTGATTACATTTCTCATATAAGCTTGCTAACCCCTGAAAGAGGAAGTCGTACTGATTAGTCGTACTGATAGTTCCACGTCACATGCTTTTGCTGATGTGCACTTCTCTCTATATAAGCTTCTTTATGACAAAAGATTACAATGTATAGATTTCTGAGATTTGCCTCCACATAGGCAGGGTGAAAGGAACAGGTAGTAGTGCAAATAAAAAAATACACATATTGACCGGGGGAATCTGGCTGAAGCTGAGCAATGGGCACAGGGGGTTCTTTGTACCGTTCTCCTTACTTCTGAAAACGTTTGCAATGTTTCAAACTATAGAACAATTTTTTAATGGTTATTTCATCACCTTAACTCCTATGACATTAGGATTCCTACATAAGAAAGAACTTATACTCAAAGATAAATAATTTTTTATATTAATTTATTTTTAGAAAACGTATCAATATACATTTGTTTTTCTCTCGGGTAAGCATAAAGAAAAATATTCTGGATAATTGTTTATGTTTACATGTGATAAAGTTGGTGATTTAAACAGTCTTGTCTCAAGTCCTCATATTTGGAAATAATCCATTGGATTAGAAGCTCAAGTTAAAAAATAGCATCCTTGATACCCCTTTTTAAAAAATAAACTTTCAGCTTTAGACCAATAAATTAATTATTTTTTTTCTTATAAGGAGAAAAGAGAGGCTTAAAGGCTTATTTTCAAGGTGTAACATAATTTTGATAAATGGAAAAAATATCATTTTCTATAATGTAAAAAATTCTTTCTACATACCTGCCATGCTAATAATTGGTCTGGCTCTAGTTCAGCAGCTTTCTTATAGGCACCCTGGGCCTGATCAGGCTGGTCTAACTCGGATGCAGCAACACCAATAAAAACCCAGGCATTATAGTTATTTTTCTCTTGTTTCAAAACTGTCTGATTGAAGAAATTAAAAAAGCAGGTCAGTAAATTTTGAAGAGCAATAAACAACAACTGCAAGAAAAAGAGAGGTTTAGTTGAGAAGTCAGGAAATATGGGCCCAAACACCTGTGTGGTCTTTGCTGGTAGGGAAAGAAGTTGTTGAACTAGACCAGTGATGACAAGAGGTCTATTATTCGGGGATATTATTTTTAAAACTGCCTATGTGATTCCGATGATTTCCCCACACTGAAGATCCAGTGGATACTGGGACCAATCAGAGTCCCAGTCTCCAGACTACTCAGCCGTCCAAAATCTAGATTTCCACCATGTTACTACTCTGCCCCTTAGGCCTGTCCCCCAAATATAATTATTCTAATAACTCCAAGATGGTAATCCTTTAACCTTGGATAACTCTAATTACTAAGCCTTGCTTCACTATCCATCATCTACTTCTCATTTCCCTCCTTGCTTCCTCAGCTGCAGCTCAGACTTAAGATCACCACTGCCATCACACCCACATACACATCCTTACTTCCTCTTCACCTTGCTCACCATCCTCACTGAAACCCAATACCACTATGTTTCCCCACTCTGAATACAAACCACTTCATACATTCGCGTGTGTCAAGACTTCTATACAACGCCTCCCTGCACGCTCAGCTTGTCACCAAGAAAACAGAACTCGCCAGGAGGGACGCCCTCATCTGCTGAGCACCACATCTGCACAGCTATCCGACACTGTGTGGCCGTACACCTATCTCCCCTCCTGCTAATGAAGAAGGATCAAAAGCTCCTCACTCACAGTCCAGAACACCACCTCTCCCCTGCCCATGGCCTCCCCTCCTCCCACTGCCCTCTCTGTCCTGCATCAAGTTCCTCTTTTGGACTAGAGTATTCCCAGGAGAAAAGGAGACTTAAAAACTTGACAGCTCTAATCCACAAAGTATAGATTCAGTGTAGCAATAGCCCGTTAAAGAATGAAAACTTCAAGAATGATACAATCTATCACAAGGCACTTTGTAGATATTCAGGCTTTGAGAATTTGACTTTTATCCATACAGAGAAAGATAAAATTAAATGACAGCATTAGCTTATCCTGATAATTGGAGTTAATTAGCCCAACTACTCCAGGGTCTTACAATGGTTCCACTAAATGGTCTTACACTTTTATTGTTCTCAAATAGTCAATGATTCACAGATTACAGATAGTTAAAACTTAGATATGGGTAATATGCTTGAATCTTGAAGAGTGGTAAAAAAAAGTTTACCTTACAATGTTTCAAAGCTTCTTTGTATTCTTTGTTTCTGATTGCATCTCTAGCATTTTTAAGAGCTGTCTTCACTTCTTTGCTTGACATTCTGTCAACAAAAAGTTGGATTAAATCTATAATAATACCTATCTAATCTTAAGAAAATTAGGTGTTAGGTAAATCTGTACCACAAGATCTCTTTTAGGGTACTGAAAAACAAGGATATTACTTTGAGGACTAAGGTGTGCCTAACCCAAGCTATGGTATTTTCAATTGCCTCGTATGCATATACGAGTTAGACATTGATTAAGGAAGAAAGAAGAAGAATCAATGCATTTAAATTGTGGCGCTGGAAAACAGTATTGAAAGTACCATGGTCTGCTAACAGTACTGTTGAAAGGATTTGTCTTGGAATAAGTACAACCAGAGTGCTTCTTAGAGGCAAGGACAGTGAGACTTCATCTTGCACACTTTGAACATGTTGACAGGACAGACCAGTCCCTGGAGAAGGACCTCATGCTTAGTAATGTAGGGGGGAACAGGGAAAATGAGGAAGGCCCTCGACAAGACACATTGACACAATGGCTACAACAATGGGCTCAAACATAAGAACAATTGTGAGGATGGCGCAGGACCAGACAGTGTCTCAATTCTGTTTACATAGGGTTGCTATGAGTCAGAACCGGCTCAATGACACCTAACACCAGCAACAATCTTAAGAACAATGCAAGATGTACTTTGAAGTAGTGTTATATGTCATAAGATAATATCTCTACATCCACAAGGAAGAAGTTAATATTGGTCTATGATTCAAATTTACCCCCCAACAGCTAAAGCCAGTGATGAAGAAATTGAAAATTCCAAGAATTGCTTTAATCTCAAATGGATCGAATATGCAACCAAGATGATGATTAGAATGTGAAATTTGGAAACAAAGAGGAAGGCCGGTAGTAGGAAAATACAGCCCTGGTGATAGAACTGAAGTTGGAAATCACATGATAGAATTTGGCAAAGCCAATGCTTCTTCATTGCAAATGCCATTTTCCAACAACATAAATGGCGACCTTATGATTTGCAGTGCACAGGGATCAAAATGACTACATCTGAGGGAAGAAATGATAGAGAAGCTCAGAATTACTGGGCAAACCAAGGCCAGGACCCAACTGTGGAACAGATCACCAATTGCTCAAACCCATAAAAAAAAAAAAGGAGAAAAACAGCCTTTAGCATATCCCACCTGACTTCAGGGGCCATGTCAAGAACAGGTTTGATACACTGAACACCAAAGACGATTTGTAGGATGTCATCCAAACAGCAGCCATGAAGAAAGCAGAAAGTTACTAACAAGACAGTAAAGAAACAAAAGTAGATGCGACAAGATCCTCTGAAACATGCCCTTCTAGATTAGCTAAAGCACATGGAAGAAATGAGGACGTAAAAGAGCTGAACAAAAGCAAGACATCGCTAGAAGACAAAGTAAAACACACTGCACTGTGCAAAGACCTAGAGTTGGCAAACCAAAAGGGAAAAACACAGCATTAACTCAAGCTAAAACAACAGAGGGGAAAATGCAAGCTTCGAATTGCACAAATAACAGAAGTTTCTGGGTAAAATCTGGAACCCTGGTGACAATGCAGTGATGACGCATTGGGGGTGATCCACAAGGTCAGCAGTGGAAACCAACAGCTGCTTCTGAGAACATCAGAGCTGTCGACCCCCATCAACCATTTCACTCCCCGAAACTCAGAGGCAGTTCTACCTGTCCTTTAGGGTCACTATTAGGAGGCATCCACTCAATGGCAGGGAGTTTGATTTCTTTGGTTTTTATGGGTAAAATATTGAATAAAACAGGAAGACAGAAAAATGGATGCAATTTAATTATGGTGCTGGAGAAGAATAATGATAGAACCACAGACTGCCAACGGCACAAATAAGTCTGTCTTGGCTGAAGTATAGTCAAAAGTAAGGACAGTGAGATTTTTATCTCAAGTGTTTTAGACATGTTATCAGGAGAGATCAGTCCATGGAAAAGGGCATCTTGCTTGGTAAAGGAAAAAGGAAAAAGTGGAAGACGCTCATCAAGACAGATCGACACAGGGGCTGCAACAATGGGCTCAAACATAACATTGTGAGGATGGTGCTGTGCCAGGCAGTGTTCTATTTTGTACACAGGGTCACTATGAGTTGGCACATAACAACAACATAACTCAAGGCATCCCACTCGTTAAGGAGCTTACATGTATGATTTTCCATGTCGTATGTTACTTTTGCATCCCTACTGTAAACTCCTTGTAGACTGTGACAATTTTTTATATTTCTGAATCATCCCAGAGAGCTTAACCATGTTGCTTGATTTAAAATTCTACTTCAACTAACAGGAATGAAGCTCATTGGACTGTCATGGCATTTTGTAATTAACTTATAATGAGTTAAGGCGCAGACGGCTTGAGTATACGTCCTGCTCAGACTGGATGCCTGTGTAACCTTGAACTCAGTTACTCTCTCCACACTTCTGTATTCCTATCTGCCACATGGTTAAAGCTGAGATTACTGAAAACAGTCCATGTAAATAACAGTAACTGTTACAAACTAAATGATCAATAAATGCGTAGTATGATGCTCAGCACATATAAGTGTGATGTGTCTATTAAGTAAAATTTGGCCCTAATACAATTACCTTAACCAAAAAGCTGCCAGGTATTGTATTAACAGTTGAATGCATGTTTACTAAGTAATGGAACGCCTCTGTTTCCTGTCAGAAGGTTAAAACGACTCGCGGTGTGCCAATTATATACCTGAAACAATGAAAATGAAACTTTTTTAAAGAATGGATCTGGGTCAGAAATCTGCTTCTTCTAGACTTCTCTAAAGGTGTTCAACGGTCAAGAGGGGTTTTTCAACAGGGAAACAATGGAATTCTGAACCTACGTCAGTTAATGGAACACGTCACAGTGCCCAACATTTCTTCCTTCCACCAGAACTGGTTTCGCTCCTTTGCACTTGAACGTAAGGGGCATCTGCTACGCTTCTCCCCGCCTAGAAGCCAAAGCTCCTTCCTCACTAGGCCCCGCTCCTCTCCCCACGGAAGCTCGATAAATCGGTACTGCAGAGGCAAAGCGAGGCAATAAGAAGAGGTGCATTGGAATTCCTTGAAGGAGGGTATTCAAGGGGGTCCCAGATACCAGATCGCACCAGGAGCCATCCCGTCTGAGGCTCCCCAAAGCGCCTCCCATCCAACTGAGTGACAGACGCGCTGCCACCTCACCATCGCCCAGTCTGTCGTCTCGCCTAACCCTCTGTCACGCTGCCACGGCGCAAAACGAGCCCAGCGGCCCACAGAGTCTTTCTCTCTCTAGGTTTTACTTCAATTGCCTACTGGATCCAGCTTCTACAACAGCCACACAGACCCGCGCTAACCTGGACGGACGCCTCTCGCTTCCAAACGCCAAATCGGGAGCCGGGGCGCGTGCGCACTCCCCAGACGGGGCTCACGTGACTGGAAAGGGCTGGGCTTTAGTTAGCTCGGTACTTGATTAGAAGGTCTCTGGTGAGTTGAGGCCGGGCTTCCTCTTCCGCGCATGTCCAGCCTCTGCACCTGATGGGAGTTGTAGTTCTACGGGGAAGAGTGGCAGTAGGAAAACGTTCCGGTCCCAGACCTCCGTTCTTCTGGAGGGAATTTCAAGAAGGAGGCGGGGCCAGCGGACAGGTGCTGGGCGTTCCCGCTGCCGGTGATGCTGTTCCTGTGGTTGTCAGTGGTCGCAACTTCTGCTACTGCTTCGCCCGCCCCCGGAGCAGCTGTGCCTAGGGTGCTGGCGGGTCGGGCCCAGCGCGAGGCGCCTAACGTGGTGCTGGTCGCGAGCGACTCTTTCGTAAGTAGGCCAGACCGGGAAGGGCGGCCGGCCCACCGCTTTTCCTAGGCCCGCAGGCTTTGGGGAGCAAAATCGGCGACATTTTAAGATAGGTTGTATTTACCCTGATGCACGTACATTTCATACACGTGCTTATTCAAAAGCTTCTCAAACAAAGAAAACTTTTTTAAAAACTCGCCGTCACCCAGTGCTCTGGCTCATAGCGACCCTGTTGCTTTCCCAGGCTGTAAATCTTTATGCGGGCAGAAACCCTCATCTCTCCTCCCAAGGAGCGGCTGATAAATTTGAACTGCCCACCTGGTTGTTAGCCGGTATCCGGCCAGCGCAAAACTCATGACAGGGCCAGAGCGCCTGGGGTGCGTGGGGGTGGGGGTGGTTAATGCTGGCATCAGCCTACTAAATTGTTTTACCACTACTAGGGAACTTTATGTTGGGAGCCCTGGTGGTGACGTGATTATGGGTTCTACTGCGATCCACATGATCCGAAGTTCGAAACCACCAGCAGCTCTGAGAGAGAAAGACTGGGCTTTCTACCCCCGAAAACAGTTACCGTTTCGGAAACCCACCAAGGGTCGCAGGAGGCAGCATTGACGCCATGGCAGTGAAAGTGAACGTTATAGGAGCCTTGGGTGTAGTGCGTCATTAGAAACCACCATCTGCCGCATGCAAGAAAGATGAGACTCTACTCCAGAGTTGCAGTCTCAGAAACGCACAAGGGCACAGGGCAGCAATAAGTCGGAATTGAGAAAGGTTGAGTGAACTTTACGCAGGAGCTTGGTGGTGTGCCGGGTTACACGTTGGGTTGCTACCAACCAGGTCAGCAGTTTGATACCCCAAGCCTCTCAGACAAAGCTTTCTACTCCAGTTAAGATTTGCATTCCCAGAAACCCACAGGGCAGTTCCACTCTGTCTTACAGGGTCGCTTTGAAAAAGAATCTACTCATGGCAGTGAATTGAGTTGAAAGTGAAGTTGGTAAGATTGCTCTCAATAGGAACCGATCCGTGGGTTTGGACCTGAACTTTCTTTGAGTCACGATCAACTTCACCCACTTTTCTGTTGTCCGTCCCCCAGGGGGAGATTATATGTAGATCTTTGTAATCGGTTCCCCCTTTTTACCTCACCTTCCATCCACCCTCTCGATATTGCCACTCTCACCACTGGTCCTGAGGGGTTCGTCTGTCCTGGATTCCCTGTGTTTCCAGTTCCTATCTGTACCAGTGTACATCCTCTGGTCTAGCCAGATTTGTAAGGTAGAATTGGGATCATGATAGTGGGGGGGTTGGGGGGAAGAGGAAGCATTTAGGAACTAGAAGAAAGTTCTGTGTTTCATTGTTGGTACACTGCACCCTGACTGTTCATCTTCTCCCCGCGACCCTTCTGTAAGGGGATGTCCAGTTGCCTACAGATGGGTCTTGGGTTCCCCAATCTGCACTCCCCCTCATTCACAATGACTTGATTTTTTGTTCTTTTCTGGTAGGGCCGAGTAAACTACCCTGTGAGTTTCCTAGGCTATAATTCTTTACGGGAGCAGAAAGCCTCATCTCTCTCCACCCAGCACTTGGTGGTTTCCAACTGCTGATGTGGTTGGTAGCCTGACGCATAATCCACTATGCCACCAAGGCTCCCCCATATATCTTTGGTAATAATAAAGCGTGAGCTCATACTGATAATACCAATTAAAGATCATTTGTGAGGTCAAAGGAACTGACAGGAAGCAGAATTACATAGCTGGAGAGTTGATTTTCGATACAACTTTAATGAGTGGACTATATGGACAGTTCTCAAGCTCTACGAATGCTTCAGAGTTATCCCCCTTTGGGGTTAGAGAACCAGGCTTTTCTACTCACACCGGGGTGCTCATTGGTTATGGACTGCTCCCAGAATGAAGCATATTCTTGGGGGGTGGATCACCTCAGTGTTCTCTCATTGAGCGGCTGGAGGATTTGAACCATTGACCTTGCAGTTCGCAATCTAATACTTACCTGCCAGCACCACTAGGGCTCCTAATTTAAGATTACAGGGTTATTCATTCTTACGGTTGTACATATGTATCTCTTTTATGTTAAATATTTTAGATCCTGAGGGCACTAATATACTTATGTCAAATATTTCAGATCCTGAGGGCACTACTATACTTTTATATTTGCTATATTTTTTAGCGCCACCCTGTATTTGCTATATTTAAATAAGCATTCTTATTACCTGCTCTTGAGTTGATTCTGACGCCTAGCAACCCCATAGTAGAATATGCAAAGTAGAACGTATTCCATAGGGTTTTCTGATCTATAAGGGCTTCCTCTTTGGGGCATCTTTGTTTCCTCTCTCTAAATTCTTCTCTCCCCTAAAAAATTTAATTCATCCCCTTTTTACCCCAGTACCATAGATGGACTAAAGCCCAGGATAGACTGAGCTCCATGCTCCTGTGTGTCCCTCACAATCTACTTCAGCTACTTCATCTCTGCCCAGAAATCTCATCCCTTCCAAGGGTCGATTTATGTCCCATACATCAGTTTGGTGAATTTTCTAAACTGTCACTGGCTTACATTGAAAAATCTTA